AAGATCCTCCTGTGTAGGTCTGGGCTCATTCCTCACTGTTCTCATGATCATTGAAACTCCACGAGGTGAACTCTTGCATGGAGCACCAGACCGAAAGACACTGACAGTTATTTTGTGTTTCTTCCATTTGCGAATAATCGCACCAACTGTTGCCACCTTCTCACCAAGCTGCTTGGCGATGGTCTTGTAGCCCATTGCAGCCTTGTGTAGGTCTATAATCTTGTTCCTGACATCCTTGGACAGCTCTTTGGTCTTGGCCATGGTCAAGAGTTTGGAATCTGATTGATTGCTTCTGTGGACAGGTGTCTTTTATAAAGGAAACAAACCTTTAAGAGAGTGCTCCTAATCTCAGCTCGTTACCTGTATAAAAGACACCTGGGAGCTAGAAATCTTGCTAATTGATAGGGGATCAAATACTTATTTCACTCATTGACATGCAGATCAATTTATAACTTTTTTGACATGTGTTTTTCTGGATTTTTTTTTTTGTTTGTTTGTTATTTGTCTCTCACTGTTAAAATACACCTATCATTAAAATTATAGACTGGTCATATCTAAATCAAAATCAGCAAGAGATCAAGTATTTTTTTTCCCTCAATGTATGTTGGCTCTGTGTAAATGTGTTGTTCAGTGACTAACTTTCGAAGTGAATTTTTTTATTCTAGATTTTATTTTTTCATTTTTAAAAAAAAAAAGAAAAAAAATTTTTATGATAATTCTGCTTTACTACATGTCAAACAGTGTTTTTTTATTTTATAGGATTTTTCTTATGACTCATTTTTTAATTATTTATTTTAAATAAGGGTCATAACTACCAATTTATATGTCTCGTGAAGCTATTGTTCCAGAACATGTTAATAATTTAGTAATGAGTTGAGCTTTTATTTGATTTGTGTTTTTTTTTTTTTATTAGTGTGACTCATAGAAGAAATCTGACTTTAGTGTTTATACTTTATACTTGTTATGCTTCAAAGCTACATTAGTATTATATATGCTGTGCACTTGAGAATAATTCAAATGCCTGTGAGATCAAGAATAAAACCACATAGAAATAATTAGCAGGTGAAACGCATATAAAATCCTTGATAATGTCTGAGAACAAAATTTACCTTTGAGAACAAAATACACCTTGAATTCTTGGAAATTCAAAGTAAATTCTAAGTGAATTTCAAATTTAAGGCCAAAGTAGCTGAATTGGAAGCAAAGCTGTCTTTGAGAATTTTTCCAACTGGGCTACTTTGGCCTTAAATTTGAAATTCACTTTAGTGAATAACCCTAATATGTGTTTCATGCAAACTTATGCGGGAGACATTGTACTGAAGTGGTTATGGTGCAAATACTCTGCAACCTTTTTTAAAAAAAATGTTTCATCCAGTTGCTCTCAACAGGCCGAAATCCATTCTAAAATCAATTAAAGGACCACTATAGTGCCAGGAAAACATACTCGTTTTCCTGGCACTATAGTGCCCTGAGGGTGCCCCCACCCTCAGGGATCCCCTCCCGCCCGGCTCTGGAAAGGGTTAAGAGGTTTAAACTTACCTTTTTCCAGCGCTGGGCGGAGAGCTCTCCACCTCCGATCCTCCTCCGTTCCGCCCCGTCGGCTGAATGCGCACGCGCGGCAAGAGCTGCGCGCGCATTCAGCCGGTCGCATAGGAAAGCATTTACAATGCTTTCCTATGGACGCTGGCGTGCTCTCACTGTGAAAATCACAGTGAGAAGCACGCAAGCGCCTCTAGTGGCTGTCAATGAGACAGCCACTAGAGGATTAGGGGGAAGGCTTAACCCATTAATAAACATAGCAGTTTCTCTGAAACTGCTATGTTTATTAAAAAATGGGTTAACCCTAGCTGGACCTGGCACCCAGACCACTTCATTAAGCTGAAGTGGTCTGGGTGCCTAGAGTGGTCCTTTAATACAGAGACCGTTGCAAAATCATTGGTAAATATTGACAATGTCTTGATTTTGCATGTATGTATATTAGTGGTTGTATAAGGTTTTTGGTACAAAGATACACAATTATCAGCTGATTACAGTTGATCTGTTTATTAAATGGGCATTCTAAGCATCGTAGCCACTTCCACTCAGTGCAGTGGGCATGCTGCCAAGAGTCTATGGACGACCCACGGGCTGCTCCCTCTTAGATCTAACAGCTAATACGTAATACCCACAGTCCCAAAATGGGGTCCCGGGAACCTTTCCCACATTTTTAAATCTACTGGGCAGATGTATCAGCTCCATGTATATTTCCATATGGCATTATTCATTTGTGACAAAACATTTGTACTCATATTGCCACTGATTACATAGGACTGATACAATGTAATAATAGACATTCCTGGTTTAATGTATGAAGGATACATCATCCTGAATTAATATGTAGTTGCACACTATAATTAGATTACTAAAGGCAATAGACTGTTACAAAGCAATAATAATAAGCATACCTTCTACACAAGGACAGTTAAATCATCATAATGGCTTGCAACCTATATAACTACTGTTATAAAGTTCCATCGTTGTGTATTTGTGCCCTATTATTCTCTCTCAATACCTTCACCTGTTCTCCAACATACCATAAAGATACATGTAAACTGTCCTAAAATAATTCTTCCACATAAGATGATTCCCGAAAAAACATGACGAACATGTAACACTTACTATGATTATATGCAATCAATCTTTGCCCATCTCATTTAAGGTGATGAATATTCAATTTTAATTTAATTGAATAGTAGCTTCATCATAGTATTTTAGCTGGGGAATTGTACTCGTGCCCGAAATGACACATCTTGAGGAGTTGCTGCTTCCTGTACATATTTCACGCTTTTTCTTCTATTGTTCAGATGAGACCTGACATGCAAGAATATGTATGGGCAGATAATGAAAATGTGCTTTTGTAATAGAAAAAGAACACATTGAGACTCTCTCATTATTGTGAACAGTGTGACAGTTGAATTCAAGCAAACTTTTTAACTCCTTTTTTAACGTATTTGTCTTTGTACTTGAGAAGTAAAGTTCATATAACGTATAAAGTTTAAGGCAAGATGTAACAATAAAAGAAATTAAGAAGTGATGTGACTGATAAAATGTACAATATGTTTAATGTAACAGTCACAAAGATGTATCATTTGTTATATAAATAGCTGTATAAACATCACAAATATCAAAACATAGAAACATAGGATGTGACGGCAGATAAGAACCATTCGGCCCATCTAGTCTGCCCAATTTTCTAAATACTTTCATTAGTCCCTGGCCTTATGCCTATCCCACGCATGCTTAAACTCCTTTACTGTGTTAACCTCTACCACTTCAGCTGGAAGGCTATTCCATGCATCCACTACCCTCTCAGTAAAGTAATACTTCCTGATATTATTTTTAAACTTTTGTCCCTCTAATTTAAGACTATGTCCTCTTGTTGTGGTAGTTTTTCTTATTTTAAACATAGTCTCCTCCTTTACTGTGTTGATTCCATTTATGTATTTAAATGTTTCTATCATATCCCCCGTGACTTGTCTTTTTATCTGGTTTCTAAAGTGAACTGCAGAGGTAAAGTTTCACAGGTGATAAAACGTAAGGATTAATATATCCCACAACTTTCGTAAGAGGAAAGAAAGTAATGTTTCATTTGAGTTAGTCAGAGAGCAGTTCTGCCTTCATATTTTATGACCAACTGACTTCATTGAGTTTCAAAGGTGTCCAGGAAGAGTATTAAAAAAAGTACATGTTTATATCATCTACCAATTATTTTAAGATTAATATAAGAATTTTCAAGCAAATAATAATACTTTGGGATATTTTGTCAAGCAATCCTCTGAAGTATGTCTTAAATTGTTATTAAAGTGAAAGCAGTAACTAGGCAGTGGAGGTTTGTGAAAACTAGCCTCCCACAATAAAGACGGCAACACCAGACATACACTCCAGTGGTGTCTTGGGGCTTAACCCCTGTTAAGTATAACAAAATACAATGACAATCAACTTGCCAGGGTAGCGAGACTCCACAAGTGAATGTCAGCTGGAGATAATCTCAAAACAGGATATTTACAAGTTGTATTAGTACACGTTTCTAACCCGTAAAGTAACCGGAAGGCGAAAGGTCATAAAAAAAGGAAGATAACGAAAGCCAAATGGCTAAACCTCTGGTTCAGACCCAGATTCAGGCAAGATTTTAATGCCCCTGAATTAGGTTGTCTGCTATCTATGCAGTATCTGTTCACATTCTTCTACAGAACTATCAGCAGTGTCAGATACAGCTTCAATAGGGCTTTAATATAACAAACCCAAACAATGTTGCTCTTTTCCTCTACTTTGCCCTAAGAATGACATGCGAACTAATATCTCCTTTTTCCACATGTCTTTAACTCTCTTATAGCTATCTATAGGAGCAGTCCATTGTTGATCTATGTGATTTAGATTTTTTTACTCACCTGCATATAAAGATCCTATTTTCAGCTATAGACCCTATTGATTAAAGTCTGGAACTCTGATATATAGGAAGCAGTACATCTGAGTAACCAGAGGTTTAGCCATTTGGCTTTCGTTTATCTTCCTTTTTTTATGACCTTTCGCCTTCCGGTTACTTTATGGGTTAGAAACGTGTACTGATACAACTTGTAGATTTGTAAATATCCTGTTTTGAGATTATCTCCAACTGACATTCAATTGCGGAGTCTCGCTACCCTTGCAAGTTGATTGTCATTGTATTTTGTGTCTTAAATTGTTATCCTTTTAGATTGTAAACTTGTTTCAACAGGACCCATTTTTATCTACCGTTCCTGTATGTCAAACATGTTTTGTTAGAACTCATTGTTTGTTTTGCTCTACATGTTGAACAGCTTTGAGGAAGATGCTGGCACTATATAAATAGTTGTAACAGTAATTATTCTAGTGAGTAATTTTTTTTTTTTCTCGGCAGCGATTATCTCTCAGTTTGCAAACCAAGGCCTCATGTCGTCCCCATGCACACATAGATGTATCACTCTGAAGAATACAATAAGAAAAATTAAAAAAATCTTGAACTATTTTTTTTTTTACAGGGATAAAACGAGCTATACTGGTTATGCATGCTTGGACTGTAATAAGGTAAAGTCATTTAGAATGGTTTGGGGTCTATCGGTTCTGCTCTCTGCCTTTACTGTTAAGGCTTGATAACAGGCTAAGGAACTTACAATGGAGAGAAGAGGGTATCAAGGCACCCCACGAACCATAATGACTACATATTGCTGTTGTGCTTATGGTTCTTGAGGCGTTCCTTTAACATCAGATTCATATTTCACAGTTCACAATTCCTTTTCACATATTTTATGTCATGTAGATGTTTATGCACCTATCAAGGAGATATTGAAGACTGTGAACACCTACTTGTTTAGATCATTTTTGAGGTCTATACAGCTCTGCTCTTTATAACTATTATCTTCTGTATCTTTTCTTATTGAATGTGAGTTTGGAAGAACTCACACAAGTGTGATATAAAGAAAAAATATTTAGGAAAAAAAATACTCTGTGACCACTTTCTAGGGCAGTAAAATTGTACTTCTCTCCAAAGTGCTGTATGTGTCCAGTGGACCCACAAAAAGCTCTTTTAGGGCCAACCATTTTTTTTAAGGTAAATCAGTCGCATCACTTGAGAAATACTGTCACATGTATAGACTGATCCACCCTCACTTCACACCCAAATGCAAAGAAGAAGAACCAGATACGTCATTTTAATAATAGCCTTTAATTGGCCTATTGTGTACAAAAGAAGTGTCTGCATTCATTTAGTGCCGAGATTGGAAGAGGAGCCAAGACAGGTATTTCAATCAAAGAACATGTTTATACTATTTTTTCAATCATCCTCTGTTTAACCTCTGGGAGGGCATTGATACTTATCAGCATGTAAATTATCATCCCCTGTATAACACTATTGTTCCATAATTCTTTTCTTCCTAGCAAAATATATATAGTCATTTGCCATGATGCAGTACTTTGGGTCCATCACATCTATCTTTTTAGTGCTGCTCAGCCTGTGTTCAGCAGATAATCCTGGGTTGAAAGTCAAGGTGACTAAAAAGGGCTTGGATAAGGGTAAGTTTTAACTTTGTTGAGTTAAATCTTTGTACTGAGTAAATATTTTTCAATATTTTAGTTTCTGCTTGTTAAGGAATGCACATTCTGAAATTATTGATAAAATAATTGATATGTATTCTCTGCTAGAAAAATATTTATATTTCTAATTTTAAAAAAGAAATTTCACTTCTCTGAAATGTGTTAAAATTAAACATCACCATTAAATATCACCCATAAAATGTGTTAACTTTTTCATGAGATGTTCAGTTTTCTTTAACATTTTTACGAGTTAGTAAATAAAATTGAATTCAGTGTAGACAAGTTTCAATTGAGGAGGAAAAATAGATACATTGTTACATTTCTTCTCCGTATGCTTACGCTATGCTGACTGCCAGGTGCAAATGACCAATCGTATGGCAATGATTGACAGTGAGCTAAGATGGAGGTTCTCAGTTGCAGGATAAAGAGGTGTAGATTTCTAAATGTAATTGAATTTTTCACATTTCACATACACATATTTGTTAAATAGAGGGATATAGAAACAGTAGAAACCCTGGGACTTGACAGATCCCCTTTAACAAGTGATACATCTGTTATGTGAATTTGACATGGTGATTTAACTATGTGTTTATAGATTGGCTTTGTTTGCTTCAATACAACAGAAATCAACCAGTTTCCTTATTCTACTCCAGGGGAGGCATCCTTTGGCACTGCAGATGTTGTGGACAACATCTGAACCTAATGCTCTTACAGCCATAAAGCACCAGGGGAATTGTAGTCCTTAACCCCTGGAGTGCCGAAGGCTATCAACTCCTGTTTCACACTGTTTATTCATTGAAGTAGGAATTGATGAGAATTGAAATTTAGCAGTTTATTACATAAGCACCTGTTTGCAGGCATATTGGATCATGTGGTCCTCTGTATCCATAGAAACTAATGATGAGACACTGGCAAAGATGTTTTAGTTAATGTAGAGGTAATTAGTATTGACATGCACACACACCCTGATTGCACAGGTGTGTCTGAAAATAAAAAAGTGATGCTAATTTTTTTTCAATAGATTTATTTATTTATTTTTAAATCTTAAAAAAAAAAAAAAAAAAAAGTAGAACATGTTTAGACTTACAAAATCCATTTTTTGGAGCTGTACTCATGTCATATTTTATTGCTTTATAATTGTATGTATAAATTATGGAGTTATTCACTGAAAACCATAATTGACTCATTTTAAACAGCATAAATAGCAGCACTGCTGATGAATTCAGTTTGGCTTGGAAGTTAGTTTAAAGATTAATTATATTTACTATCGAGGCTTGCAGGCTGGCTTCTGAGATTAAAGGAATTCTATAGTGCCAGGAAAACAAACCCGCTTTCTTGGCACTATAGGTTCTTACAGTGCCCCCCTCCCTAGTACTCTACTTCCATTCGGTGCTGAAGTGGTTAAAATCACACAGAGGCCTGGGGGAGAGGCACACGGAGGGCTAATGGAGAGAGGCATACAGAGGGCTCATAGGGGACAAAGGCACACAGAGAGCTGCGGCAGAGAGAGGCACAGAGAGGGCTTAGGGGGGAGAGGCACACAGAGGGCTGGAGGGAGAGACACACAGAGGACTGGGGGAGAAAGTCACATAGAGTGGTTGTGGGGTCAAAGAGACACACAAATGGGGCTGGGGAGGAGAAAGAGACCCACAATGGTGCTGGGGTGAAGAGACATATAGAGGGGCCTGGGTAGGAGAAAAAGACACAGAGGTGCTAGGGGGACAACAAGACACACAGAAGGGCTTGGAAGAGAAATAAACACACAAAGGGGCTGAGGGAGAGACACACAGAGAGGCTGGGGGGGGGAGAGATCCAGTAAATTATTAAGGGGGAAGAAACACACAGAGGGGTTAAATAAGGGGAAAAAAACACACGAAAGAGAGTAGCTGGGAGATGAAAGAGCTGCGCAAAGGGCTAAAAATAGCACCACCCCCGCCCCCCCACAGCTTTGCTACTGAATACTTTTATTAATATGTTCTATCTTTTATTTTAAGGAGTGGAATATGGAATGCATAGTCTGATCTCGCAGTTAAAAGTGACTGCCATCCCTGCCATCAATGGAAGTGTAACCATGGGAGAGGATTCAATGAATTATGGATTTAAAGAGTAAGTAGTGTAAAAAGGTGATGCTGATTGAGTATTTAGTTTAATTTCCATGTCCCACAATTCCTATTCAGGGTAAATTGTCAGCATTTGGAAAAATTATCCGTCAGCCATGCTTTTTTAGTTTGGCTACTTTGACCTGAAATATGAAATTGACTTTGAATTCACAAAAATTCCCACTTTAATGAATAACCTTGATTGTTCTTAATTGAGTTTAATAAAATCATTTTCTGTTCTTTGGATTATTTTTTACTAATTTAAATTTTTTATTGTTATTGTTTTATTCCAGTACACGGATTGTGGATTTTAAATACTCAAGCATCTCCTCAACTTTTGTGCCTGGGACGGGTATACAGATTACTATTCAAGGTGGAAGTGCAACACTCACTAGTAATTGGGAAGTAACTGGCTGGTTGATGTAAGTATTACCAAGCATAACAAGAGCAGAAGATTAGCCATGTGCAAACTCCCTCCCTCCAAAAAATAAAATAAAAAAGGGTTCGTATGAATCATTTGTTCTAAATTATTTAGTTGGTCAGAAATGCGTTTTGGGCGACATAAGAGAGCATCAAATGCTATTAAAGGAATGCTCCAAGCACCATAACCACTTAAGCCTCTGGTTATGGTGCAAGAAATTCCAGGGGACCTCCCAGAGTAAGTCATCTTATACCAGTTTGACCACTTATTGTGTCCAGTCAGCCATGCAGGGCTCTGCTCGTTGGCTGAGAGTGCTCAGCCCAAGAGCACAGCCCTGCATAGCAGAGCTTAGCTTACTGGAGATAACCAAAAGCTCATTACGGGAGGTAGGATGGCGCTAGCACCTGGTGAGACCAAGTTAAGTTCTTAACTCTTAAATGGTTTGACTACTTACTCTGGGATAGCAGCTGGGGACCCCTGGCACCATAATTACTACAGTGGACTGTAGTTGCTATGGAGCTTGGAGTGTCCCCGTAAATTAAAAAAAAAAATGTTTTTGTTAATTCAGTTCAGATGACCTCTATTAACACATTGAGTGGCTGAGGTGGGCACGTCATTCTTATCCAAATACAGAATTAAAACAGAGAAAATCCCATTTTGAATTTCCTGGGTTGTCTACTTTTGCAAATGGTATGCCATCATGTGGGTAATTTTCATTCCGTGGCTGCTATATGGTCTAAAGCAGGGCTGTCCAACCTGCGGCCCCCCAGATGTTGCTGAACTACAACTCCCATGATTCTTTCAATGAAACAGACAGCCAGGGAATCATGGGAAGCCCTGGTCTAAAGGCAACATATGCAATCTGGCACATTGTAATGTGCATAAACTAAAAAAGGGAAAGTGCTATATTTGACCCTGTAATTTTACAACACCCCATAAAACCTGTACATGGAGGCAACTGTTGAATTTGTGAGAACAAATCTGAACTCAAATAAGTGTATTTTAGTGTAGTAAAAGCTAACAGTATTATGACACTAACATTTAAAAAAAAAAATGCCATATTAAATTATGTTTCACATATACATATTTGATATGAAAATTAAAGCCCTGTTTCTCATGAACAAAATGATATATATAATAAGTGTGGGTGCACTTAATATGAAAGAGGTGAATTATGGTTGAAAAAACATATAGTGAAAATTCCAGGTTTTGTTTAAGTTTTGTATTGATCAGAACGTGTACTATTGACTCCGTCCTTACGGGGTTAAATAAAAAACAAAATATAAACAGAATCTATTGAAGAAAAACAAACTGTGGAATAACAGTGCCAACACAAAAATGTACAAATAGTTGAACAAGCAATCCAAAAATAAAATAAGTTGTCTACAAAATGCTTGTGATTTTAATGGTAATTCTTGGTCAGTAGGCACATGGATGACTGTAATAGGGGGTTCAGTTCATAACATCTTCAAGGCTGGAGCAATCCAAAAATAAAATAAGTTGTCTACAAAATGCTTGTGATTTTAATGGTAATTCTTGGTCAGTAGGCACATGGATGACTGTAATAGGGGGTTCAGTTCATAACATCTTCAAGGCTGGAACCCTTAACATAACATAACACCATCTGTCCCTAGCCAGCTCCCTTAGATCGACCACCTCCTTCCCAATTATCATACTCCCCGGTTTTCTGAGATATGCCATACGTCCTTCCTAACCCTAAACAGCACCTAGCCCTAAATTTTGCATGCCACCCAATATGTAACTATCAGTTCCATCCCACAGCTGCTTAAAGGACCAATAAATTCACCTGGGTGCAGGGTTAAATTCACCTCTGACAGCCACTAGACAAGCTTCTTCTTCCAGAAATGAATGAAAGCATTTGATTGGAGGAGCATAGCATTTGTCCATGCATGCCTATTTCTAATCTACTTCTCTATGAGAAGCATTAGGTTGCAGCAGATGGCCGAAAATATCAGCAGGCATGCTTCAAGCCTGAGATCACGCTGTTACAGAACTACAGTTCTGCCACTATATATAGAGACATTCACCCCAATTTCTCACGTAAGAGCAGAAGTCACACTCCCTGGTTTTCCTCCTGTCCTTCATCAGGCCCAGCCCCAAAGAGTGCTTTCACTCCAACACACATGGTGACTGAGCCTCACTATCAAAGCCACGAGTCCTAGCGGTCACTCTGCCTAAGATTTTAACCGGTGATGATTCAACACCGTGAGTGCAAAAAGAGCGCTCTTTTGACCAAAGGAGGCGAAGGGGAAGAGCTATCTGGAGATATAAGACATGTGGGGGTTATTAGTATTATTTTGTAAATTTTGAGGCAACTTGTAATGGTACCCTGATGTCTGGGGAATATTTAACTTAGCGGTTACTGATCTAGTTATTTCTCAGACTCAGAGACACCAGGGCTGGTGTCCAGATGGATTTATGTTGTTCAAGCCATGGATCCCCTGTTGGGGTTGTGAGTCTAAAAGAGTGCCTTGTTTCCAATAAACCAGTTCTTATTCACCCTCAAAGAGATGGACCTTTGACACACACATCCCACACACCCAAAAATGAATTGTATGAACACATGTCTTTCCTCTTGAAATGTCTTTCTAACAATGTGGATGTTTAGTGGTATGTTTATTCATGTTTCAGGTGAATTACTGAAAAGATGAATTAAAACTTGTCTGAATTTTTTTGAGAAAATATATATAGAAATAAATCACACACATCTTTTTTCTTGCAGCACTGATAGCGGTACTTCTGTACTGACGTTGTCAGAAATGACAGTCACCTTTATTTTTGGAATGCGACTCACCAAATCAAGCAAACCATCCATATATACTGTTAGCTGCCAGTCGGATATTATTGGAGTAAATCTCACAATGGAGGGGGGAGTTGAGTAAGTTCATACATTATTATCCTTATTATTTTTATTTGTATTGGCAGGTTCTTAGTTAAATGCCAAGATAGGGAACGTCATTTTCAGATTTGGAATTCAATCCAAATAATCAATGGACAGCAGACAGGCCAGAATTTGTTGTGTTGTCTTTCTGAATGTTTTCCACAGTGGCGTACATACAGGGGTCGCAGCTGCGACCGGGCCCGTCACTCCAGGGGTACCAGCCTCCATGTTTTGCGGCCCCAGCTTGTGCGGCAAGCCTCCGGGGCAGCACATGAAGGAGCACATTGGGTGGCCCATGCTGTTAGGGGCACCCGATGGGTATGGATTTCCAGGGGGCCCAGTCAGCGCAGCGGCGCTTTAACAGCGCGACCGTACCCCTGTGATGAGATCACTGCTTGGAGGAAGTGACTGCCCCGGTCACTCCTCCCAGCTATCAGAGAGCCGTGCCGGAGGAAGGAGAGGGAGCCGAAGTGGGAACTCTGACTCCCATCAACCTGAGCCACCACTGGACCTCAGGGAAAGTCACCCTCCTGCACTTAAAAGGTAGGAAACAGGAGGGTGACTTAAACAAACATATGTGTGTATGTGTTTGTGTGTATGTGTTAATGTGTGTGTGTCTGTGTGTGTCTGTCTGTGCCTGTCTGTGTATGTGGGTCGGTGTGTATGTGTGTGTGTCTGTTTGTATGTATGTATGTGTCTTTGTTTGTGTGTGTATGTCTGTCGTATGTATTTATGTTTATATGTATGTATGTGTCTGTGTGTATGTATGGATGTTTCTTTGTATGTATGTGTGTGTCTGTTTGTGTGTATGTATGTGTGTGTGTGTGTCTGTCTATCAGTCTGTATGTGTGAGTGTGTCTATCTGTATGTGTGTGTCTGTATTTCTGTGTGTCTTTGTATGTATGTATGTGTCTTTGTATGTATGTGTACTTTGTATGTATGTGTGTCTTGTGTGTGTGTCTGTCTGTGTTTCTGTATGTCTGTCTGTTTGTATGTATGTATGTGTGTCTGCGTGTATGTGTGTCTGTATGTGTCTGTTTGAGTCGGTCTGTGTGTATTTGTGTGTATGTATGTATCTGTCTGTCTGTCTGTATGTATCGCTCTGTTTGTATGTGTCTATGTGTGTGTGTGTCTCTATGTATGTATGTGTCTGTATGTATGTGTCTGTGACTGTGTGTGTGTCTGGTGTCTGTCAGGGGGAGTAGAGAGCGAGTGGAGGGGGGGGCTACTCCCCCCCAACAGATACACACACAGTCACAGACACATACATACAGACACATACATACATAGAGACACACACACATACAAGAACACATAAAGGAACAATATAGGGTCAGGAACACAAACATGTATTCCTGACCCTGTTGTGTTAAAACCATCATCTAGCCCCCTTTCCCCCTAAATATAACATAACTTTAACTTCATATCAGTCTGCTGCTGCTTGTTCTGCCCCTGATCTGCCTGCTTTACTGACATTATCAGAAGTGGTGGTCTGTGCCAGTCACAATGCTTTCACATAGGAAAGCATTGGATTGGCTGAGACTGTCAAGGAGGCAGATCAGGGGCAATGCCAGCACAGGCCAAAAACAGCCCTGGCCAATCAGCATCTCCTCATAAAGATGCATTAAATCAATGCATCTCTATGAGGAAATAAAGTGCATACATTGTGTAATATCTGGCGCTAAAGTAAAGTGCAGCTAGTTAACGCTGTGAAATAAACGACAATAGTTCCACCCTTATAATAAATACAATCAAAAATAGATAGTGAACAGCGCAAAACAAAAGTACTTTAAAATGTGTATACACTTCAAACAAGCTGTGTCACACAGTAGTAATATGCTCTTTACAATTCTTTCTCTCACAGTTTTAATTGAGGCTGATAACCAACAAGTAATCTATTTATTATTTGACATATGATCTCATTTTCCAGACATATAGTTGTCTTCTCATCCCTTCCACCATGTTTATATTATTTTATTTACTTCTTCGCATTTGGAATGGCATATGTGTGTTTTTCTACTTGATGTGATTTTAACTTAATTTCAATAAAGCTGTATATTTTACTTAGAATTTCCTGTCTAGGGAACTGCTCATTTGCGTCCAGTCCCCTTTTTTTGTTTTGTACCTCTATTGACTGGGGTTGCCTCCTCCTTTGGAATTCTTGCTCCAATATCTTAGGCAGCTGCTCTTTGTGTTATATACTAAAATGTCCAGGTGTTCCTAAGAGCCCGGCAGCATTAGAGCTCAATTAACACCAATGTTAACAATGATGCATTGGGGGGCTATGATAAGGTTAACTTTAGAGTTATGTTAGAGTAGGGTTAATGGGAGGTTGGGATTGGGAGTATAGAATCTTTTAGAGGTAGTTAGGGTAAAGTGGTTTGGGATTAGGGAGTTTCATGCTGTGAACTATTACTTTTCCAGTCAGACATAGGCTGTTGTTCATCTACTTTTTGCATTTCGCTAATTATATCTTTGCCTTTAGCTATATTTATGATGCTGTTAAAAAGCCAATGAAGAAGATGATCCGCAAAGACATTAACCAGCAGGTAAATAAATTAAGAAGTTACGTTGGGCATGGTGATAAAGAATGGGAAGGTGCTTTGTATGCTAAAACGTATTTCCTTGTATTGTAGCTGTGTTCATTGCTGAGAGGACAGATGCAGCGTTGGGATGAATCTCTAAGCAACTTAAATTGTGAGTAGTTTAAAGGCAAACTGTCAAAGAAATAATTTCAACCACACCTTATGGGTTCAGCTCATAAAACATTATTACGTTCTTCATGTTTATACTTCCGGTTTCATTTAAAATTTGCAGAGAGCATAAACTAGACTTTTAATTGTGACTTTTAAATGGATATATATATATTTGAGAGTATAGATTGTAACCATATTAGTCCAGTGATGCAGATGTAAAAAAAAAAACAGAGGAAATTAGTATATTGTGCCTTTTTTATTGGACTAACATAATATTGGAATGACAAACTTTTAGGAAACCCTCACTTTGTTTAGACTTAAAGGACCACTATAGGCACCCAGACCACTTCAGCTTACTGAAGTGGTCAGGGTGCCAGGTCCAGATAGGTTTAAGCCTTTTTTCTGTAAACATAGCAGTTTCAGAGAAACTTCTATGTTCACCTATGGGTTAATCCAGCTTCTAGTGGCTGTCTCATTGACAGCCGCTAGAGGGCTTCCGCGTTTCTCACTGTGATTTTCACAGTGAGAAGACGCTTGCGTCCATAGGAAAGCATTGAGAATACTTTCCTATGGACTGGCTGAATGCGCGCGCGGCTCCTGCCGCGCATGCACATTCAGCCGAAGAGGAGGAGAGGAGGAGGAGAGCTCCCCACCCGGCGCTGGAGAAAGAGGTAAGTTTACCCCCTTCCTCCACCTAGAGCCCAGCAGGAGGGGGACTCTGAGGGTGGGGGCACCCTTAGGGCACTATAGTGCCAGGAAAACGAGTATGTTTTCCTGGCACTATAGTGGTCCTTTAAGAAATTGAGTTTCTCCCAGAAGCTTGTAATTCTAAAATGATGTTAGTACACTATATATACACACACACATACACATACATGTAATTCTGCAATGCTCATTTCTTAAACCATCTATGTTTAATGCTTATTAAATAAAAAAAATTGTATCTTTTTTGTTTCTTTGCAGTAAATGTTTCTATTGATAACCTTATTGGTGTGGACATGTCCCTTATTAATAACCCAGTATTTACAGAACAGTTTGCAGAAGTAGATTCAAAGGTATAGTATGTGTTGTGAATTTTGCAAAAACACAAATAGTAGCACTGGGGAAACCAAGTCATACTGGGAAACCAAGTCATACTGGGAAACCAAGTCATACTGGGAAACCAAGTCATACTGGGAAACCAAGTCAGTGTTTGTAAAATGAAAAGTAAAAACTAGGTGAAATTCGATGAGATCATATTATTTACCTGCTCTTTACCAGACTTACTGTACTGCATAATTCCTTAAAGTCCTGGGTCTAGCAGAGCATTCCCAATTTTGGACTCTGGTCCTTCATTTCCAAGTTGAGAGTAGAAATTATTATTATTATTATTTTATTATTTATATAGCGCCATCAGATTCCGTAGCTTCATGTTGTAACGAAAGAAAGAAAACGAACTGACAACATTTAAAAAAGAAAAGATCTGCCTATGAATGTGCTGCATCATTCCCTTAGGGATGAGGCTTATTATGGATAGAGCAACCAAATAGATGATTGATTTTCTTGCATATTTTACTATTTGTTCATTACTATTTATTACGTTATTAGACATAGAATATGCTCTCAAAAAAACTAATGAAATAAAAAAAATGAAAATTAACATTGTCCTCTTTCTCTAGGCTATGTTCTACTCATCTGTTAATAAGACCAACACTGTTGTCCGTTCATCAGCCATGTCTCTTGATTGTCAAGCTGATTCCATGCTCTGTGCTGGAATATCAGAAGCCTCGCTGAATTCCGTCAGCCTTGCTTACTATTCTGGAGGTGGCTTTTTCTTTCACCTGTCAAGACTCCTTGTAAGTACTCGCACCAGTCACCAAGGGTAGAGGTGGGCCAGATTTCATAGCCATTGTTTGCCTCTTCTTTTTCTTAAATTACTTTTTGCATTATTGAATTGTGAAACACACAAAACATCCCCATGCTAACGATAAAAATAAATATACATTTGTACAGCAGTAAGTTAGTTGGAGGTTCACTCTCTGATGATTTGGGCAGGTTTAATTAACAAAAAATGTTTTAAATCAAAATAATTGAAATTCACACAAAGCAAAAATGGAAGTTTTAATCCACCCATAAAACAGAGGCTATAGATATATGCTACCATGCTTATCATCTCCAATTTTGTTTGCAGGATTTTCACGGTAAAACTAAATCAAAGATATCAGGTCTATTAGCAGAGGTCAGTATAAAAGTTAAAAGTGTAATGGACATGCAGTTCGAGGGCCTGAATTGTTGGGCATTTCAGTAATGTACTTTTTTGTTCTCTTGTTTTATACGTTACCATCAGCTTTCTCAGCATTTTTCAAAGCCGAAAAAAGAGTTTGTTTCGTTATCAGCTTCCAAAGCTCCTACCGTCATTCTGCTACCAAACAATGTGACAGTGGGATTTTCTGGGTATCTTAATGCTTATGTCCTACTTCCAAAATCCAAAAGAGAAAATCTTTTTACTGCACACATGGTAAGTTATCAAATATAAAAGGTTGAATGAAATCTTCTTTAGACAACTCACAAGTAGGGTTTAGGGGATGAATCTCCTTAAAATTAGTTATCATGATGGTGTTTTCACGACACTTTTCTGTACAAACAAAAATCAAACACAAAAAAAAAACACGTGAAGGAGTTGATTCTGCATAAAAATGTATAGCATACTGTTTTAATAATTTCTATATGACGTTTGGAGAAATTAACTGTAGTGGATCACCTGATAACCTGACCGGTTACCTACGCTAGTTCCCTTCCTTCAGCCGATCAGGAACCATGTAGAATGTAAAGAGACTAATTCCCACCCAGTAACTGGACGACACACAGTTCTGGAGGTACAACAACACTTTATTTGTCACACTCTGCTCACACACAACAACAGTGCCCCCTCCCAGGGGTCCTAGCGTGGCACAGGAACTCCAGTTCCTTTGTCCCCTGTTCCGGCCATCCAAATACAGGGTCCCTGACTTCCAGTGACATTGGGTCTTCTTCCCAAGATCCTTTATGCCTGGGAGCCAAAGCGCAGGAGAGGTAGTGGGGGTCGTTGACCCTTTGTCTACGAGGCATAGAAAGACTGCCAAACCAGCCATAGTCCCCAAAGAATGCCCACACCAACCTCATAATGGTATCTGTCATGAACAGCCTCTGTTCGCAGGGTCCCTGTGTGAAACCACGCAAGGGAAGGGTCTCCTTTCGGGATACAATTGGTGTTTGTTTATATGAACGGCGGCCACCCTGGGGAAGCACTCATTAATTACTTCTCTTGCGGTTTTACACTTTGTTGCGAGTTGTTAGCGTTCTTATTGATTGGTGTGAACATTCTAAGGGGCACTGGGGAAGTCACCGTTCGTGAACCGAACAGGGGGAAGTAGTTCACGAATGCTCCCCCTCGATGGCGTTCATCTATACGAACTAGCGGCTGCCCATGGGAGAGCAGGCGTCAAGGCTTCCCTTGCGGATTTGGCATAAGGTCGAGGCGGGAACATTCTAATGAGCGTTATAAATGGGACTTCATTCGCCTGCCGAACGGGGAGCAGGCATTGCACATGATAGGATTGGGAAAGGATGGGGAAAATACACATAAGAGGGAAAAGCAATTCACTGCCCTCCAGCGGTCCCGCCACATTAGCTTCCTGTCAGGGGTTGCTTTGTGTGACATTGCATATCTCAGTGTGTTCGAAGTTCAAAGTATGTTGTTAAAGGTTAAAAACAACAACAACCTTTATTGAAAACAGCGTTTTTATACCCCCAACATCTCCATTTACATTCAATAGTGTTACAGTGGTTCACACTGCAAGTGGAAAGAGGAAATAGATATTTTATTTTTTATTTTTCCTTTCCTTTTTAGTCTCTCTCTATGCTGACTGCCAGTTGCAAAGAATAGGGTTTTTATTTTTAAACAATGTCTGACAGGGAGCAAATATGGAAGTAGTCACTCAGGATAAAGAAGTGTGGATTTCTACAGTTAATTTAATTTTTGACACCACACAAATATATATTTGTTGAATATAGGGATAAGTACACATAATATTAAAAATCCAGGGAAGTGACAGTTCACCTTTAAACCCTTAAGGACACATGACATGTGTGACATGTCATGATTCCCTTTTATTCCAGAAGTTTGGTTAAAATTCTAGGTCAAGAAAGTAAAATGTGAAAAATTCTCCAAGTCAGCTAGATTTTCGACAATTCACATGTTAACGAAGAACCCTCTAAGAATCACCAATATTTCTGGGCATCCTACATCAATAGGTAACATAACAGAATGCATTTGTGCTCTTATTCATGTTCTCCTATTCAATGCAGGATATCAGCGTCAGTGCAAAGTTATCTTTATCAGACAGTAATCACAAGTCTGGACAGAACCTCACCGGATCTGTAAGTCTAAACAGGTGAGATCATACTGTATTTTAAAGCTATTATCACTTGGTCAACATCTCAAAGATGAAAATAAAACCTTGCAAATAAAAATATATATGTGTTGTAATGATGAAGGTATAGGTATACCATTCAGGTGTTTACAAGTGACTCTTTATAAAAAAACACCCTTCTTTATTTCACATGTTCTTCAGCAGATTATTTTATTTTAACAACAATAATAACATCTTCATTTCTAAATTTTATAAATTTGAAATGCATTCAATTCAAGTAAAACTGTTTAAAAGTGTGGTCTCATTCTCATCATAGACATCTAAGTCAATGGAATAGAGGTCTATGTTTAAGACTGAGTTATGGTGAGCAGGAGAACCCTCCGCCTGCTCTCTGTTATGACAAATTCAACTCATGTATTGTGTTATCAGTCACATTCCTCCAGCAAACTTGTCACTCCATCCTGATGTCAATGCACTGAGCAATGATGCCAGTAACAGTCCCAGATGCGAAGGATTCCATCACCTCATGTGTGAGAGCTGGATGGTAGATTAGATCTTGTGATGGCTATCTCTTTTCCTCTTTACTTATCTCTTTCTGTAAACAATGGTGGAGAAGGTTTTATACCAGTGTGTCCATAAAGAAAGAATCACACTGTGAATACATAGTCTACATTCACAAATCCTACCAGTTATCTCAATGAGCTTCTAGAACTATATCAAGTTGTTCCTTCACTGCATCTGGTATTACATTCCCACACTATACATGTAGGTCAAACTGTGTTCAAATGAAGATTCTTAGATGCAGGAATGTAAGTTAAACTGGGCCTGAGGAAAAAGAAGGACGCATATCCATTACTATAATAATCTATATATTACATAATACTTTTTTTTCCCAATACACCTAACCAGTGTTTGTATTCTTACAGATTTGAGTTAAAACTGGAACAGATTGAGTCAGAGGTAAGTGGGGCTCGAGGTCCAGATATGTTTTTTTTTTATTTATTTTTTATATTGTTCAATAAGTTAGAATCTTGATTCTAAGAATCCCACTCTATTTTAGTACAAAAATAGAAAAGAAGAGATTAAGAAGATTGTTGAAGAGGACTTGATAACACTGATAAATGGTAAGTACTGTAGAACCACATATACACATATATCTATAAATATATCCAACTTCTGTTGTAACTGTTAATCTCACGTTCTGTTTTTGCCCCCTCCAGAGAAACTAAAGGTTGGATGGAATATTCCATTTCATTTAGTGAACAATACGTCTTCAGAAATTAAACAGGTGAGAAATGTTACACAAAATATATATTAGGTAGGTAAAACAATTTGGATTTCCAATGAGGAAAATCAGGCATTAACCTAACATTCTTCATTTTTAGGAATAGCAGGGCCTATACTCTAAAATGTCTTGCTTAATAATGTCCATTCTTTTGTCCGAACAGGGGTAGAGAAAGAGTGTCCCAAGCTCTCTGGCCCAAATTCAAATAATGTCCAATCCAAAAATAAAGGAGCAGGGATGGGAATATTTTTGAGTTTGTTGGGTAAAGACTCATATCCACTTGGAGTGTGATGTAGATTATTGTTTTCTTTAAATCAGTGGACTGAATATTCCATAGTTCGTTGCTCTAGGAGCCAGACAACTGAGCATAATCTGTCCTCTATTGGGCTAGGGTATTCCTTAGCCAAGAATTAACCATTACCCTTAATATCACATGCCATGGGGTGGAAGAAAGGGTAGGTGACACATTGGGTGGAAGAAGTGGGGGATATTCATTTAAGTATGCACTTCCTATTAGTACTGCTTGGACACCCTCAGCTGCAACATACTAAAATCATTAAGTTATTATTAGCTAGTTATGTTGAATTGAGAATATTAGGTTCTAAAAACTGTTTAGTTTTTTCTTTTATCCAATGGCCCCTTTTTTCTATTTTCTCTTGTGAGTCTTAGTTAGATTTCTTCACCAGAGAATTATGTCTTCCTTTTGCAATTGAAGTATCCCAATATTAGTAGTTGACATGTGTCCATTGATGTCATAGATACAGTTTTCAGAAGGTCTAAATAATAGACATGTGCAATTTGTTTAGTTCAAAATCGATTGCCCCCTTTATTCGTTCTTCTAAGGGAATAATGGGCATTAGAATTTCAAAAATGAAACAAAAACATTTTTGGGATTGAATTCAGTTAGTCTGAATTGATATTTTCTGAATTTTGGATGAACCGAAATTAAAAGAATTAACAAACTGAAATGGAACAAAAAAATTGTTTTCCCTGTGGACATCTCTACTAAATAAAAAAATTGCTCTTGATCTATGCATATGCAAGTAATGTGGCAGTCATGAATAAGTTAAAAACAAGTTGAGCAATCCAAAGATTAAACTGAATAAAATATGATTGTGACAAATGATTAAAAAAAATACATATTAATTATGGTTATATCTTGTTTAGGTTTTAATCCATGGTTTGAAAACACACAGTTACTGTAAGAAGAGAGCATTATTATTTATTGTAACATTTTTGTTTTATTTTTGTCACTAGGGTTTTTTGGTGCTGAACTCGGATCTGATCTTTGAATCTGTGAAAAACATTTTTTGATGGCGAAGAATTAAATGCCCTCAAATTTACAACAAACAGCTTTCAGAAGGATTTGGACAGTAATCTAATATAAGCAAAACATTGTGTGTATCAACAGAAAGCCATGAGGACTATAGATACACTATAAAACACTCAAATCCAAATGAGATATGTTGTAGCATTTTTTAATATTAAGTTACAGTATTTATGTTAATTAATATTTGTGAGAAATATAGTGTAAAAAATATTTCAACAGATTAAAAATGTAAAAAGAATAGATGTGTTGCAGTATACAGTGATGGGTTTTTACTGAACAAACAATACATATTAAAATAAAAGCTTTCAAGAATTTTCTCTATGATGTGTTTTTGCCAATGTGATAAAAATCCAGAATCTGTTGTAATGGAGCTCCAGTACTCTGGCTGAATACCTCCATTAATAGTTCCTTCTCACTAAAGAATACAGCACTGATATGATATAGCCCTTTCCCCAAACACCAGAAGGGTATTTCACTTGGTGAATGGTAAAACACTCACATATTTATTGTCACAAAGCACACACATTGATAGGAACAATCACAACTAGGGCCGGACTGGCCAACCGGGATACCGGGAAGTTTCCCGGTGGGTCGCGGCACCTGAGGTTGGGCTGATAGTCGTTTAAGTATTTTCCCCTCATTCTGTGCCAGCCCCTGTCAGTCTGAGGGGAGTAAAGAGGGAGAAGCTGGGGCTGGTGTGGCTGCAATTAGGTTGCTGGCGGCCGGAGGGGAACCTGTCAGTTTCCCTTCAAAATGTACCTAAATTTGGTCTGCATTCCCTGCCCCCGCACGTAAACCCCGCTCCTGAATGGAAGCTCAACCTCCCGTACGCAAGCCCCGGCCCCAACACGTTTCTGACATTGCTGTAAGGAAGAGGCAACAAAATGGCAATTTCACCTACCTGTGCCAGGTAAGCTTCAGCCATGACAGTGATTGTGTGCCTGCTACTAAGAGAGCTTGTGTGTGTGTGCCTGCTAGTGAGAGAGCTTGTGTGTGTGTGTGTGTGTGTCTGCTAGTGAGTGAGCTTGTGTGTGTGTGTGTGTGTGTGTGTGCTTGCTAGTGAGTAAGCTTGTGTGTGTATTCCTGCTAGTGAAAAAGCTTGTGTGTGTGCCTGCTAGTGAGTGAGCTTGTGTATGTGTGCCATTTACAAATTCTGTCAGATTGTATTGAAACAGTTTGATAAAGCCTGAGATTCTCTACTGCATATAACCAGACTCCTCTAAAATGAGGTTTTAGAAGCATATCATCATATCTGTTCCATTGTAGGTGTGGCAATGTGCCAATGACTCATTCGCAGAGAAAAGTAAAGGGTGGCCAAAGTATATCGGGACCATGCCTGCTAGTGAGAGTGTGTGTGTGCACCTGCAAGTAAGTGAACTTGTGTGTGTGTGCGCCTGCTAGTGAGAGAGCTTGTGTGTTTGTGTGTGTGTGTGTGTGTGTGTGTGTGTATGTGTCTGCTAGTGAGGGAGCGTGTGTGTGTGTGTGTCTGCTAGTGAGAGCATGTGTGTGTGTGTGTGTGTGTGTGACTGCTAGTGAGTGAGCTTGTGTGTGTGTGCCTGCTATTGAGTGAACATGTGTGTGTGTGTGTGTGTGCCTGCTAGTTAGTGAGCTTGTGTGTGTGTGTGCCTGCTAGTGAGTGAGCTTGTGTGTGTGTGTGCATGCCTGCTAGTGAGAGAGCTTGCGTGTGTGTGTCTGTGTGTGCCTGCTAGTGAGTCACCTTGTGTGTGTGCCTGCTAGTGAGTGAGTTTGTGTGTGCCTGCTAGTGAGAGAGCGTGTGTATTTGTGTATGTGCCTGGTAGTGAGCGAGCTTGTGTATGAATTCTGTCAGATTGTATTGAAATAAAACCTGAGATTTTCACTGCATATAACCAGACCCCTCTAAAACGATTTCATCATGTCTGTTCCATTGTAGGTGTGGCATTGTGCCAAGGACTCGTTTGCAGGGAAAAGTAAATGGTGGCCAAAGAATATCTAGATCATGTCTGCTAGTGAGAGTGTGTGTGCCTGCAAGTGAGTGAACTTGTTTGTGTGTGTGCCTGCTAGATAGTGAGTTTGTGTGTGTGTACCTTTTAGTGAGAGAACTTTGTGTGTGTGCCTGCTAGTGAGAGCGCTTGTGTGTGTGTGCCTGCTAGTGAGAGCATGTGTGTTTGTGCCTGCTAGTGAGTGAGCTTGTGTGTGTGTGTGCTAGTGAGATAGCTTGTGTGTGTGTGTGTGTGTCTGCTAGTGAGAGCATGTGTGTGTGTGCCTGCTAGTGAGTGAGCTTGTGTGTGTGCCTGCTGTTGAGTGAATGTGTGTGTGTGCCTGCTAGTGAGTGAACTTGTGTGTGTGTGTGTGCATGTGTGTGCCTGCAAGATAGTGAGCTTGTGTGTGTGTGCCTGCTAGTGAGAGCGCATGTGTGTCTGCTAGTGAGAGCATGTGTGTGTATGCCTGCTAGTGAGTGAGCCTGTGTGTGTGTGCCTGCTATTGAGTGAATGTGTGTGTGTCTGCTAGTGAGTGAGCTTGTGTGTGTGTGTGTGCCTGCTAGTCAGTGAGCTTGTGTGTGCCTGCTAGTCAGTGAGCTTGTATGTGCCTGCTAGTGAGAGAGATTGTGTGTGTGTCTGTGGATGCCTGCTAGTGAAATAACTTGTGTGTGTGCCTGCTAGTGAGTGAGCTTGTGTGTGTGTGTGTTTTTGTGCCTGCTAGTGAGTGAGCTTGTGTGTATGTGTTTTGGGCCTGCTAGTGAGTGAGCGCGTGTGTATGTGTTTTTGTGCCTGCTAGTGAGTGAGCGTGTGTGTGCCTGCTAGTGAGTGAACTTGTGTGTGTGTGCGTGTGTGCCTGCAAGATAGGGAACTTGTGTATGTGCCTGCTAGTGAGAGCGCGTGTGTGTCTGCTAGTGAGAGCATGTGTGTGTGTGCCTGCTAGTGAGTGAGCCTGTTTGTGTGCCTGCTATTGAGTGAACGTGTGTGTGTCTGCTAGTGAGTGAGCTTCTGTGTGTGTGTGTGCCTGCTAGTCAGTGAGCTTGTATGTGCCTGCTAGTGAGAGAGATTGTGTGTGTGTCTGTGGGTGCCTGCTAGTGAAAGAACTTGTGTGTGTGCCTGCTAGTGAGTGAGCTTGTGTGTGTGTGTTTTTGTGCCTGCTAGTGAGTGAGCTTGTGTGTATGTGTTTTTGTGCCTGCTAGTGAGTGAGCGCATGTGTATGTGTTTTTGTGCCTGCTAGTGAGTGAGCATGTGTGCGTGTGTGCCTGTAGTGAGTGAGCTTGTGTGTGTGTGTGTGTGTGTGTGTGTGCCTGCTATGGAGTGAGCGTGTGTGTGTGTGTGTGCCTGCTGGTGAGCGAGCTTGTGTGTGTGTGTTTGTGTGCATGCTAGTTAGTGAACTTGTGTGTGTGTGTGTGTGCCTACTAGTGAGTGAGCGTGTGTGTGTGTCTGCTAGTGAGTGACCTTGTGTGTATGTGTTTTTGTGCCTGCTAGTGAGTGAGCGCGTGTGTGTATGTGTTTTTGTGCCTGCTAGTGAGTGAGCGTGTGTGTGTGTGCCTGCTAGTGAGTAAGCTTGTGTGTGTGCCGGCTAGTGAGTCACCATGTGTATGTGCCTGATAGTGAGTGAGTTTGTGTGTATGTGTTATTGTTCCTGTTAGTGAGAGAGCATGTGTGTGTCTGCGCCTGCAAGAGAGATAACTTGTGTGTGTGTGCCTGCTAGTGAGAGAGCTTGTGCGTGTGTGTGAGTGTGCCTGCTAGTGAGTGAGCTTGTGTGTGTGTTTGTGGGCCTGCAAGTAAGTGAGCTTGTGTGTGTGTGCCTGCTGGTGAGCGAGCTTGTGTGTGTGTGTGTGTGTTTGTGTGCATGCTAGTTAGTGAACGTGTGTGTGTGTCTGCTAGTGAGTGACCTTGTGTGTGTGCCTGCTAGTGAGTGAACTTGTGTGTATGTGTTTTTGTGCCTGCTAGTGAGTGAGCGCGTGTGTATGTGTTTTTGTGCCTGCTAGTGAGTGAGCGTGTGTGTGTGTGCCTGCTAGTGAGTAAGCTTGTGTGTGTGCCGGCTAGTGAGTCACCATGTGTATGTGCCTGATAGTGAGTGAGCTTGTGTGTATGTGTTATTGTTCCTGTTAGTGAGAGAGCATGTGTGTGTCTGCGCCTGCTAGAGAGAGAACTTGTGTGTGTGTGCCTGCTAGTGAGAGAGCTTGTGCGTGTGTGTGAGTGTGCCTGCTAGTGAGTGAGCTTGTGTGTGTGTTTGTGGGCCTGCTAGTAAGTGAGCTTGTGTGTGTGTGCCTACTAGTGAGTGAGCATGTGTGTGCCTGCTAGTGAGTGACCTTGTGTGTGTGCCTGCTAGTGAGTGAGCTTGTGTGTGTATGTGTGCCTGCTAGTGAGAGGGCTTGTGTGTATGCCTGCTAGTGAGTGAGCCTGTATGTGTGTGTGCCTGCTAGTGAGTAAGCTTGTGTGTGTGCCTGCTAGTGAGAGAGCTTGTGTATGTGTGCCACTCATGAATTCTGTCAGATTGTATTGACACAGTTTGATAAAGCCTGAGATTCTCTACTGCATATAACCATTGTTAAGACACCTCCAGTGTCTTTAGGCAAAACCGCCGTTTAGTAGACCCTCCCCGGCTGCAGTAACAGTCTCCGTTCGCTTAATTCATAGTATACGAACCAAATGCAGGGGAAGCGGCAATCTCCCGACCGAGATTCATGAACGGCTCCAAACTCCCGAACGGCAATACACGAACTGCTGCTAGCTGCCGAACAATAATATCCACCAAGCGGCTTTCGTTTCCATCCAGCAGTCTCTAAACGCAAATAATAAATCCCCCCAATAACGAGACAGAAGCTCCGCATTGAGGGTCAAACAGGATCTGGCTTTACTGTGGGCTACCTGCCCGTATTTATGCAGGTCTCCCACTTGGTAGACACTCCCCTAGGGGACCAAATGGGAAACTTAAATTACAGACAGATATGGGGACATTCCAGACACACAGTCACAGCTTTTACCCACAGTGCATTGTGATTTCCTCCCATCTGCCCTGGAGTTAATTACCAAGTAACTCAATTAACTCCAGGACAAAGCCAGTCGCCATTTTAAATATAAAATCATAAAACACATAAAAATATATAATTCTACAACTACCGAACATTTCACATTCGTATCACACATCCCCAGATAGCCTGGATCTGAGGGCATATTATTAGCGAATAGCGCTCAGATCCCACACACATAGTTCAATCGCCATGGAGTCAAAGTTCTTACAGTCTTTCGGTATACGAATGACTCCATGGGAAGGCTATCTGGGTTAAGTCTGTTCGTATGCTCCAAAACTCCCGAACGGCCGGTATTCGTATGCTTTCGTGGAG